TATGTTTACATTTTTGTGTTTTGGACTATTTTTGCAAAATAATGATTTTTCACAAATGGGAAATGCAATTTGGAAAATTCTTTTTGTAACATGTTCATTCACATGTTTATATACATTTTCCAAAGTTTCATATTTTTTGGACTTCATTTGTATTTTTAACAATTTTCCAAAATGCAAAAAATCTGTTTTAAAATTAGTTTTGGAATGTATCAGTCCTCGGTCGACCGCACTGATCGACCGCACATGTGATCATTCGTCAGTGGGCAACAGAGAGTTTGTCGGTCGACCGCACCGGTCGATCGCACCGGTCGACCGAGAGCTCGATATTTCCATCGGTCGACCGCACCGGTCGACCGAATAAGTCTCTGCTCATTTTCTCAGATTGGGATCTGGATCGCGGTCGATCGCGAATTTTTTCGGTCGACCGCCGCTCAGTCAGATTCCTTCTAATGGCTATTTTTGTTACCGCCCGCCGCTCAGTCAGATTCCTTCTAATGGCTATTTTTGTTACCGTTGGCTGGGGTTATTTTTGTCTTTTGCTTGGGGGTTTTGGCTGAGATTTTGAGTGGGTATAAATACCCCATTGCTGTTCTCTTTCAAATTATCCCAAGAAGTTTTTAAACAAGGGTTTAAACTTGTTTAGTGTTTGTTTAAGTTTGTTTTAAGAAACTTTTAAGCATTTGAGTGTTTCGGTTTTAAGCTTGAGGAGATCATCTATTAGTGTTTGGGCATCCAACTATTCTCCTTCTACCTCTTGATCTATTGAGAAGTTTTCTAACTCTTTTCTCTAGCAATATTATTATTGATTTTCATATTCTTATTATTGCTAGTTTGCTATTTGAGTTAGATTTGATTTTATCTCATTGTTACACACACTCACTTGAGCTTATTGTATTTGCATTCATAATATATTTGGGGTTGTGAGAGTTGTAATATTGAGTGTGAGCTTTCATTGTGTTCTCATCTCTAGTTGAGAACAATCAATTATTGTATTGAGCCAAATTGTGAGATTCACTTTGTAATACACTTGTACACCGAGAGGAGTGTGTGGTGAGAGTCAGGAATCGTCCTAAGAGGAGTGGCGTCGGTTGACGAGCCTAGGGAGAGGTTGTAACCGAGCACTTGAGGGAGACACGGCTAGGACCAACACTTGTGAGGGTGTAGAGTGTGATTGCAAGAGTGTCGATTGTAAAGTTTTCGGATAGCTAGAAAACCGAGTGTGAGGTGTAAACATTATTCGGGTGAACGTAGAAAACCCGGTTGTGATAGTGAATTTCTCTTCGGGAGTGGGGAGCGGAGACGTAGGACGGAAGGTCCGAACTCCGTGATCATATTGCTTGTTTGAGTTTGGCTTAGCACTTATAATTGTTCATCTTTATAGCATTTCTCTCATTGTTTATTTCATCCACTATTTCATTTGTTTATGTTACCCTTGTGTTTGCATATCCTTACATATATCATATTGTATATCTCTTTGGTAGGATATATCATCTTGTGCTAGTTTATCCTTGCATATAGTTTTATCATATAGGATATATTCTTTTTGCTCATATTGTTTATCCTAGCTTACATATCTTATTGTATTTCATTCTTGCTAGGATAACTTGTTAATAGTTTTAATTAGCATAAAATCGGATTAGATTAGCATAATACCCTAATCACCCCCCTCTAGGGTCTAACAATTGGTATCACTGAGCTTGATGCTCTTTGATTTAAAGGTCTAAACCGCCTTGGCTTAAAGATCCAATTATCTCTATTTTGTTGTAATCTGTTATATTACAGTTGTCGTTGCTTGCATATTTCATATATATATTTTATATATATATACTTAATAGTATATATATATATATATTAGTATCTATATTATATCGACTATAAATGTATTTTGTTTAGGCTATAAATCCAATGTTGCTCCTAAATTCATTAATTTTTCCTATGCACAATGGGCTTCTAGATTTAAACTATTTGTTGAATCTAGAAATATCGACTTATGGGAAGTTATTGATTGTGCTTATATTGTGCCCACTTTGGAGAAATCCAAGTGGAGCAATCATGATAAGAAAATGTTTTCAATGAACAAGCTTTTGTTAGAATTTTTGCTTAATGCTTTTGACTCATCCTTTTCTAACAAATTTGTTCATTTTGATAGTGCTTACAAACTTTGGAAATTTATTAAAGCACATCAATGGGACTTAGAGGCAATCCGACAAGCTTTGGAGGATTCTTCTTCAAGTTCATGTGGAGCATCATGCATACGGCCATATGAGGATAACCCTTGTGTAGTAAGCGATTCCGATTCCGAAAATGATTTATCTATTGATGAACTCGCTTGTGCATATGAGACGATTCCGAAAATGATTTATCTATTGATGAACTCGCTTGTGCATATGAGAAATTATCGCATGCCTACACTAAATTGCAAACGCTTGTGCATATGAGAAATTATCGCATGCCTACACTAAATTGCAAAATAATTTTATTGATCTTAAAAGAAAGCATGTTAGTTTAAAATTCGATCATGAGAAGCTAGTCTCTAATTTTGATATCATTTCTCAAGAAAATGTTGTTCTTAAAGAAATTAATGATATGTTAAAATTAGAAAATGAAAAATTAACTTCATCCATTTCTAGCTTAACTCGTGCTAATAAAGATGCCATGCTAGAAGTAGAATTCATTAGAAATTAATTTGATTCTTTTAAGAATAACCACATATGCTCTACTTCTATTATCAATAATGTTGTGACCAATAATGAATTGAATCTTATGAAAAACCGCATATCATGCTTAGATTCAACTTTTAACACATGCATTGATAATCATAAGAAACTTATGGACAAGTGTGCTAAATCTAGTGTCATAACTTATAAATCACCTACACACTATGCACACTTGTATAGCAAAGTTTACAAATGCTCTATTTGCGGTCGTAAAGGCCACCTTGCTAAATTTTGCTATGATGCACATGTTCGCTTGGAAAACCGTAGCTTTCTTCATTAATGAGATAATTGTCATCTTTAGTTACAACTTTTCGAGTTACAAA